ATATATCTTATTAACCAAGCGCGAGGGCCGTACTGGGAGAATATCGGCCCGAGGTCTTGACAGTACGGACCTCGCTGCGCTCGGTCCGTACAAAAAAGACCGAGGGCCGATATTCTTCCAGTACGATCCCGAGCAAGCTTGGTTAATAAGAGATTTATTACACGACTGAAGTTCAAAGGGACACAAGTGCGGTATCATTCGGGACCATTTGGGACAGTGCCCGGTCCAATACTGAGAGAATATTGACCGGCAATAGAGCATTTTGATTGGTTGATTTCAGTTATTGGCCCTCTGACTGCCCGAGTCGTGTAATATATATATATATATATATATATATATACATATATTTACAGTCGTACAGCATCGTTTATATACTTCCGTTTGTGATTCTGTGGGCACCGGCAGAACTAAACCCGATCTAGAAAGTCTGTTTTTATTCTCGTCAAGTGAAATGGAACCGAGATTCTTAGACTCTAATCTTCCTGTGTAGTCTGTACTTGGCGATTTACTTTCTGGGAATCATTCGAACCGTGCAACACTCCAACAGACTACCAACAATCGAATTTAGCATGTTATGTTTTAACTCTAAACGCCTTATTATTGTAAGTTTAAATTTGTTCATTTTCTGTTTACATCAAGCAAATTATATGCAAGGACCCAAATATACTTCAAAGGAATCTTCCTTCTTTGACACACTCGTGGACACAAGTGTTTTGTAATGACTCAGGAACAAAAGCTGAAAAGAGCCCGCCACAACTACCATAGCTATGATAGAAATAAAATGGCACACACTGCAAACTGCACTTTTCCTTTGAACCGTTTTCTTTTCCCAATCTTCAACTATCTAGAGTGACTAAAGCGATCTCAACCTACTCCTTTATATTTAAATCCTAAAGGTATGAAAGTCTTTTTCGTGGCATCGCTTGGTCTCTACAAGTAACAAGGCACTGGTCTCATATTCAAGAAAAAGAAAGCTATGAAAATCTAAAGGAACTTGCTCACAGCCTGAACAACTTGATACGATTTCATAAATGTTCAGTTTTGCCAAACAACACCACATTCCCTTAAGACCTCACTTGCAATTGGATCAAGAGCATCAGTTTACCAGATTTATCTTTTATTTTTCAGGAACATTCTTATTAGAGATTGAATACCACTACGTATACGTACGGTATAAGCCACTTTACTCTAAAACCCCATCTACAACACATTGAATTAACAACAAAGTAAGCTTCTGTGTGCCTGTTAGTTCCCAATTTGGCTGATTTAAACAAAACCGTGAACAAGTGCATATTACACAGAAAAAATATGACAAAGTGAAGTCATTATTATAACTCAGCTCAATCGCAGAGTGTAACTCTGAGAAGTTGGCGATGGTCCCACCTAGGGAAAACATTTTCGCATCAAGATCATCGTTTATATTGAATCGCTGGTGATAATTGCAAGAAGCTTAGTATTCATTGCGGATTCCCCAAAAAAGAGAAAACAAAAAGAACTGACTTAAGTGACCTAACCTCACTTCTCAGCGACCTGAAATCAAATGAATCTATTGAATTAATAAACATATCCTGCATACTTCTATATGACCAGCAATGGCGACAGTGTCCTGTTTGTAAATAGAATAAAAAAGATGGTAAATTTGAGCTCGTTGAAGAAATAGAGAAAGATCTGTCTGTGTCCTTTTTCTTCTGCTTTTGTTGAGAGCTGAGAGTTCATGTTCTCAGGAAGTGTGACGTTTGCATGCATGACGTGTCTAACTAATATATACAATCAGGCAATACTTGCCAGCTGAGAGTTGATTATATTTGTCAGTCATTTTTTTAAGATAAAGATAAACATTCTGATTAGAATCCAACTAACACGTTGCAGAACATAGACCACTGAACCACTGGATTAACTACAAAATAGGTCTTTGCACCTAGGTGAGCTTCCACCTTGACTGGTATAAACTCGGAAAGCCGTGAGCAGCCGCAATTTTTTTGGAAAATTTTTAAACAAAATGAATTAACTACAAATCGCCGAAATCGAGAAATTGGACACTGGGTACAGATTGTTTGATGTTGGTCCCACCTTGGGAAAAAATTTCCGCACTAAGATTAACGTGTGCATTGAGTCACTGGTGATAAGAGAGGGAAACTTAGTTTCTTTTGATTCCCAAACAAAAGAGAAAAAAGAAATGAAGTTGAGAAGTGAAGTTACAGCGGTCAGAAATTAAACTCAGTGACTGGACGACAATGTTTGACTCGAAGAAGTTGATGTGTTTTTCGTGTTTTGACGCTCAACAATTGAGAGGAATGCGATGCAGAAAAACTTGCGTGCTATATGATTCCACTGCTACTTCCACCCTATTTGGTTTTAAGAGAACGGCGAGCAAAAGCATGTTGCGTACACAATTTCTAAACAAACCGAAGCTACCGTAACTCTCCTAAACCTGACTATGAGCCTGTGATAAAAACTTTCAAAGAACTCAGTTTGCTTTCACGCCCTGTGGTGAGAAATTACAGATTTTGTTTCATTTTTACTGTCCACGGAGTTCATTTCGATTGTCTGCGTCTTTTGAAGCTCAACTTTCGAGAGAGTGCAAAGTGGAGAAACCTTATTGCATGCTAGAGCCTACGACTACATTTGTCATTGACTTACAAGGAACGAGATATTTTGCTGTTTACATTAAGATGTAAAATTTTAGTTGCGGCCGAAAAAGTTCATATCCAGAATGAGAGCTGTTGCGACCTGTTCTACATTTACAGAATTGATAAAAACTTAATTCAAAGAACTCAGTTGGCTCTTACGCCCAGGGGCGCGTAATAACGGCCTTTGTTTCACTTTTATCGTTCACGGATTTCATTTCTACTGTTTACGGATTTTGAGTACTGTTGAGAAAACCGTCAGAGCAACCAGTTTTATTGTTATCGAGTACATTACAAAGCAGCTTCTCGGATACTTACCTTCCGGTGTACCTAATACTTTTCGTATCAGCCGAACAAGTTCAGATCTAGAAAGACCGGTTTTATTTCAATGTCTATTTAGGTAGCCTGTTGAGGCACATTCGAGGCGAGTAAACAATTAACCTTAGTAAAGGCGTAGAAACAATGCGTAAAAATTAGAGAGAAGGTTTCAAACCATATCTTGCTGTGAATCAGCATTCGTAGCCAGCCTTCATTTGTAGCCGGCCTTCGTTTCACTTCTATTGTTCACGGATTTCATTTCTACTGTTTACGGATTTACAGACCTGAAAAAAATCAGGCCTGTACGGGATTCGAACCACTGACCTCTGCGATACTAGTGCAGCGCTCTACCAATTGAGCTAACAAGCCAACTGGGAGCAGGCCGTTAAGTTGATTCGTAATAAGTTGATTCGTAATAAGTTGATTCGTTAAGTTGATACCGTACAGGCCTGATTTTTTTCAGGTCTGATTTTCGCTATTGCTTAAATAGCGCTATCTACTGCGAGGATCGTGCATCATATGTAATAACGCAACTATTCTTGAGTTTTTTAATCAGGGAGGAGGGAAAGGGGAACGGAGGGGGGGGAGGGGTGCACAAAGTTGGAAAAGATCATGTCGTAAGTCTCAGAGTCCGTTCCAGGGAAGCTGGCAGCGCTTCCTTC